AGAGGGGATTAGTTAACAGAACTAGAGCACTTGTTTTTCTACTTAGCATTGCTAACCGTCATATATAAAGTACCTGTTGTGGACTCCAATGTACCTGATTTTCGGTGGATATCGTACACCGCACCCGCTAAATATCCGAGCCTATTTGTTTCCTACGTACAAACGGATGGACAGGACATATCCATTCCCCTACCGGAGTTAACCACATCCTTTATTTGTTCTATGCATCAGACTTATTCAAAGGCTCGGTCTTTATGATGAACAAATTTCTTGACGGAGAACATAAGATGATTGAAAGTTCCTACGAAAGGCCATACACTGTTGCTGCCACGACTTAATCTACCACCCCATAAAGACCATGCAACTTTACGTGCTTTGAATAGCTTTCCACCCTCCCGTGATCTATGCTTTGGGACATTTACTCCCTGACGAAAGACGAACAAATGGCTCCTGATGAATTCTACTGGAATATCGAAAGCTCTTGAACGCTCTTGTCACATTGTGTTATCGGTGCTTTGACTGCAAATAAAAATCCATCTCCCATACACCAAGGCAGCTCCACAGTGGTTATTTATAAACGAAAGAATTCTTCCTAATATGGCAACAGTAAAACCTCATTCCCGAACTCAAGCAATTTGCCCATAACAGGCATATGACTAGAGAAAGATACGCGCTCAACAACCATCATAAAAGCCACAAAATTACCATGTTTTTGTAAGGGATAAACAACACCACGGATACTCCATTCAATTTGATTTGTGGCAACGGAATGAAAAGCGATCCGACTCAGATAAACAAAGCGCTTGACAACAAATTTAGCTGCACCTTTAACATCACTACTGGTTTCTGCGCGAATTCCCCATCTGAGTACTGACGATAAGCTCTGTACAGTAGAATCCGAAATCCGTGATATCATTCGTCTTGCTTCCTCCACTAAGCTATATGATCAGCTGGACCGGACAATTTCCTTTCAAGATTGATTTTAAAATTGTGCGTTTCGATATCCTCTGGCTATTTTCGAATGTTTTTCTCTATCTGGTAGTTCCCTATTATCCCAGCACTGTGAATAATGCTATAATTTCCCTTCGTTACAAATCAAAATTTGTGCATGAAACGGCAGACTATTTCCATTTGCTCTAAGCTGACGGGACGTTGCATACAGTCCGAAACGGTTGGTTTTTCTTAAAGTGTAATCTCATCAACCTCGCGATTCCAGATAACATGTTGGATCAAAATGCTCAATCATGTTATTAGTTCGACTGACTGCAGGTAATCGGCTGGAGTAGCCTATATGGTTACGAAAAAGATATTTGATCGCATTCCGCATATGTCCCTCAACCTAACTGCACAAGGCATAGGCAAACCAATCTCGGTTTGGATCGTTTCTTACCTCACGTACAGAACCCAGGTTGTTCTTGCTAAATGAGGCCAAGGTATTCGATCTACAATCCTCCATAGAATCCGGCCCGAAAATATATGACCTATTGATTATTTAGCAACGATACTCATAACATATAAAAAAGAGTTAAAGTTCCATGATGAATGCGGTTCACGAAGGAAATGAAGATGAAACTCGCTGTACAGATGATCGTTCCACAATTTGGAACGCATCCCGCTCGTCAGAAAATATAACGTCTATACTTATTAGGAATTCATGCCAAATCCTTTTACAAGTGCCGTGAAACTAGGCTGTGTTCTGCACTCTACCTTTACTACTATGTATGAATGATATTTTTGGAGTTTGTTTCAGTCGAAGCACACTTCTTTTAACTTATATCCATCATTTACACTGTCAATGTACAGATGTCAAAGGTGTTCACAGAATAATCCGGTATGATATACATATGTTTGATTTATGGTATTCTAAGTGGGATATAACATTCCTTCGTTAAAAATTGCTACATAGTATCCAACAACTATGGCATCAGACAGAGTTCTCATATTATTGACGATTAACAACTATCCCGCTACCATACCTAGGGAAATACTACACCAACACCCTTATCTTCGCTGAGCATGTTGAGCGTGCGGTTGTTAAAGCTCTTCGGAGAAAAACGCTTTTGCTTGAAACATACACTGTAAAGGAATTAATTAACGCTGCCTACAAAATTCAAACAAGTCCACTAATAGATTATGGAAAAGTAGCGTTAACCACTATGACAAAGATTTTGCCAAAGTCAAACAGACAGTCTTACACACAAAAGCGATGAAGTGCCCTAGGTGATATATGCAGTGGAAGTGGAGAAAGATGTAAGTGTGTACGATATGAAGGGGAATATCAATAACTCTTCGGATGCTAAAAATCCTTTCTAGAGGCAGTATGCTTCAGCACCTGCGTCAACAAACTTCTATTACTTGTGGATATGCTGTGAGAAGTGTAACGTTCGTAGAAAGTAGAAGTCACGATTAAACTGCACGCAATAATCTGCCTCGACATGGAATCGAACCCCGGTCCCACGAATTGCCGGTCTGCTGCTCTACCACTGAGCTACCGAGGGCTGACCATCAGGTGCGCAAGTTAATACATGAATTCTGATTGGTGCGCAAAGCATTGCCAATGGGCTCACAGTATCTGTCCTGGTGTTGCAGTTTGGCTCACTCACTCTTCACTTCCCAATGGACCGAAGTATTTGTCCTTCTGTTGTCCAAAGTGCGATGGTAGATTACCGGTGGAAGTTTAGTGAGGTGTAATGTTCGTAGAAAGTGGAAGTGACGATTTAATTTCACACAATAATCCGTAATAATCCGGTAATTCGTGGGACCGAGTTTCGATTCCCCGTCGAGGCAGATTATTGTGTGCAGTTTAATCGTGACTTCTACTTTTACGAAAATTTCCATTAGTAAACGAACTGTGGCTGTGTCCAGCAGGTACCTTAGACGAGGAACAAGTAAAGTGATTTCCTAAGTTATGCTGATCCACAAAATATTCATCAAAATGTGCGTTGATATCACACCAATTCATCGCTACCCAGTTGAAAATACTCAGGTGCATTAAATACATGGACCTGGAAGGCGAAATCGGAAGTCTTTCTAAATCCACCACACAGACTACGTATATACCATAAAGGCGGAGCAATAAAGTACCTCCCAAACGGCAGTAATATATTGTTATTACCTTATCTCTGTCAGCTAACTATGTACGAAAATGAAGAACATCAGTTCATCAGCTCACAGTGATGCAAATGACGCAGAAAGAAATTAATAATATCCGATAGATAACTAGTAAATATCCGCTTTCGGTTTCGTTTACTTTTGAAATCTGAAATGACATATTTGTTTTTCTTAATGATGTCATAATCTTGGGCATAATCGAAGCGTTCGCAGCACGTTTGTTGGTATTGATACTACGACGATAACTGGTGAGTATACTCGGACAGCTGAAAAACGATATAATTTAACGGTATGTTATTCTAGTATTGATTTATCATTCTATGTTTATAAGGTGCCCTTTTGTATACGGTCTAGCATACAACCATCAATGCTCTTTTTTCTAGTGTTAATCGAACCAGCATTTTATAAATGTACAAGTACTCTGCTTAGTCGATCATTGCGTGGCCTTAGATGACCAGACTGGTTGAAATTGCAGTGGCGAAATCGTTGCCGAATTGAGTTTTATCACGGACGCTTTATGTCTATAGTCGAAACTAAAATATGAAGCCTTAAATAAGCCACGATTAAGCCTAAAAGCAAGGAGCAAAGGAACAACAGTAGCTAGGTTGGTGGAAATGAAGAGTACGTTTGTCTTAATTTTAACAACCTGGTTGGCATATAGTTTTTAAAACTCGTTTAGAACACAGGCATTGTTGTGGATCACAAATCAAGGTGTGGAATGAGTAAGGTACCAGCGAAAATGCCGGTAATCATGTTGACACTAAATCCTACAATGTGGAATGGTGTTTCCTAACCGTTTTCATCATCAGTATAAATTTCAGCTAAGGTAGATTTCTGCATGTGCGTAAAATCTCATGTGGCTTCAAATCATGTGTCTCAACTACCCACAAATCCGCTCCGACATTTTACCTTCCTCAAGGGTCAGAGGTCAGACAAACTCCGTCTCCTAGTCATACAGATTGGGGATTTTTAGATGCCATGACGTCCATTTCTGTAAAACCAAATCACTGACATTCTCCACTGCCTTATGGACAGGAATTTAAGCCGAAACTTTAGTTAGAACCTTAATGTTCCTCCTGTCTATGTCCGTGTAGGCGCCATGACCCCAAATGTTTGTTTACGGCACTGAGGTTTTAACGTCGATCACCTTCGATCCCTTTTATTGTTCTCTGTTCAAGTGCTTGTACAGGAGCGAAACATCAGTTCAAGTTGCTTATGTGCTGTTGTTGATGCTAATGACGTTGATGTGACCGAGACAATCCAACATTTAACCCTCAAGGTGGATCTCAGACATTCGATATTAGTGGAAGTGCTTTAGACCCATTTCAGTCACCAGCTGCTATGTGAAACGTTGTCAGAATAGATGATTAAGATTTAGAAACTACTGACAATATTCGGCCTCAGAAAGCTATTGATCAGTGGAAAAGCAAAAATTAAACGCCCTGCATCGACTTTGTAAATTAAGGTGGCTCTGCACTATTTAGAAAATGTGTAATTTCATGCTAAATTATTGTGGGTATTGGGGTTAATATCCCACATACTCAATCCTCCTACTTTAACGTAATTCGGATCATACCTAAGTTACGTACGGTCAGGAAATTTTACACACAAAGTTAGAACATACGGAATTCCCGAAATGTCACAGTGAGTGAAGATAGGTAATTGTGGGAGCAGATAGGTGCAAACGTCCAAGTCAATATGACAGCAGTAATTCAGTAGATGTCTTTGTGTCAGGTATTAAAACTGGCAAGTACAGCAATGCAATCAGTGATTTCCCATAGAGACCATTGGGTTACGTACACGAATAAACAGGAAAGCTCGACATCTAGCAAGTAAAATTTAATGCAAAGTTATTTATAGATAGTACTGTTTCAGTTCAAGTTACCCATCTATGCCATATTTTTGGAATAATCGTACGCATCCAAATCAGCTTCTTCAGTTTGGGCAGGTACAAGTATAGAATGAATAACAGTCGCCTCTGTGGCCTCCGCTGATTCGTATGCTATCAGCTGCTCCTCTGTGACTAGCAAGTTAAACGTAATGGACTTCCAATACTGTTCATCGGTGAAGACCAGACGATGATTGGACCGACGTCGACGGACAAACGCATAGCGTTCACGCAGGTCAAAACAGAGGCACCGAGCATTGGTAGCTAGTACCTCCAATATGTGATCATATCCGCTCAAATGACACATCGGCGTAAATGGAATCGTAGAGTTCATAAATAGTAATGCACGAAAAGGGGTAGGGAACCATTGCTTACCGAGCGGTCGAAAGAGCAGGGGGAACACCATATCACGTAGCCAGATCGGTTGTTTCCCCCCATACAATGCTAACTCATACACATGCGTTTCATTAACGACGTAATATCCGATATCGAGAAATGGCCAAAGCCATGGGTGGGAGGAGGTATTTCGACTGAATTCTAAGTCTTCTGTCTCCCGGTTCGGATCAATTTGTCTTGTGAAAAGTTTATCTCTATTATACATTCCGGAATACAAATATCCAGAATTCATATTTCTGAACAATTGGTGCAATCTCGAGCGCACCCTCAGGTCAACCAGTACATCGACGTCCTCGTCCCAGGGGATTATATCATGGTGTCGGAATGAACCCAACAACGTCCCTGCATTAAGGAAAAAGCGGTCTCCAAGTCCATTAGCAAACATCAAATCCGCAAATACTCCCAGAAGCCGTTTGAATAGCGCCTTCTGACCTCGACTCATAACGGGTTCAAATGATCGTGGCGGTCTAAACACTGTTCCGTTTGTGAACCGCATGCCTGCCGGTTTATCTGCCAATCGTGTGATGGGCCATCTGAGTTTTGTCAAATCTGGGAGTAAATGTGCTTGATAGCTGTTCAGATATGCTTGAACAATGAAGGGCTCGATCCTCATACTCATGCTCTCATGTCTTGTTGTCCAGGTCCAAAATTCGTAGGTGATTATAACTACGATAATTGCGACAACACCATAGGTTCTAAGGGCAACGCGCTTCCTTCCGCATCGAGGACACACCGAGGATGGAAGCATGGTAAATGAGTACAGTATAGTTCCCGTTAAGTTGCAGTGTGTTCCACCGAATCATACGTTTCGATCATGATTTATCAGCAAAACCTGCGAAATAATTAGTTATTGTGTATTGAAAAGGAGAAGCCTTACACATTCGTTTAAATACCAAAGCAAATCTAGTTGTGTGTATACCAACCGGTTCACCGTGTCACACACGCAAACAAACGCACGCGAACACATTGTTCTTGGTTGATCTCACATCAGGTCAAATGATTGGTGCAACCTACCCTTCCACGTGACGTCGGAAACGTGATGAGCGTCTGAATTTCAAAATCCATATTCCTGGAAATCCTACAGACCATTAGGTTGAATAAACTGCATCCGGATAGCTGGGGGATCACTCCAAATTTAGTAAATTGTGTAATTGTGATAAGCATAGGTTGTTCAAGCTTGACCTGATACCGTGTGAATTGAAAATCAGCAATACTTATCCTCAACGGAGTCACATATCCTCAGTGCACGCTTGTAAATTATGTATTAAAATTTGAGCTGTATTGGGATAACGGCATACTTAAATTATTTATTATAATTTCTCCCAATCCGATGAAATACATGGATTCACGAGTGAGTGAAGAAGAGTATAATTAAAAGCCAATTGTACGATTCGCATGCCATTTAGTAAACTTCAGGTCGCAGAGTTTTGATGGCACAAATTAGACTAGGCGAAGCTTTATTCGAATTTTAAATAAAGTAATTTAAATATGTAAATAAGTAAATAGGCGTGTGGCTTATTTTGCATTGTGCGAAATATATGATCAATTTAACGCAATATTTTTAGTGTTCGAATTCTCATTGTACAATTCATGTAAATTTTGTTAGGCTAAAATATTGTGGATACTCATAAATCGAGGTGTGAATGATGGTTGTGGGTTGTTCATTTAGCTCGGTGTCTTATTGCAACTGTTTCGTAGCTACTACTTTGTTATCGTTGTTGTTGTTATCGGGGTTGTTGTTGTTGTGGTTAAGGATAGCCGAGCTCACGAATTCACAACGCTTACTTGTCAACACTATCGTGCTGTGCATAATCTCGATCAGTGTCTGGCAGATTTTCACCAGTTAAGCAATCACTCACCCACCATAAACTCCAACTCTAGAAAGACACTTAACAGGACGAGTCTGTGACTAATCGAAATATGCGTTCTTCTGATCAAACATTCATTGACCTGTGAGTTTGTTAAACAAACATGAACCACGAAATCTACGTCCGCTGAGAATTTACGCCCAGAAGCTCGGAGTATAGTTGATCAGAGGGTCAGAATGTGTCAAGGCAGACAAAACAAAGCCGTACAATGGTGAAAGCTAGAAAAGAGCTCCACATTTCTTAACGTCGACTATGAAGTTAATACGAAGTCTGGATTACAAATGTTGTGATTGGTTATCATGAGCCACGGTCTGTCTGGTCATGCACGTGACTTATTTGTGTGAATAAATGTCCATGTTATCAAGTCAACCAGTGACTTGGTCGTGTGTACACAGTACAGCTGTGTCCCTTGCATCTCTATGTTCTTACTTTATTACTGGCGACGGCTTATTGAACCCGTGGCCTCCATTGAAAAAATGGAAGAGTACACTGAGTAATCCGTTTCTGGAACCATTATATCGAGCATAGAAAGTGTTGTTCCGCCGTTAATGAAGTGGTCAGTAACAACCGTAAAGTGAATATCATACTGATTATCTGTGGCTCAAAAACATACAAATTACTTTGCAGCTTGGTAACTCCCGATTTGCCATGCACCAAAACAATTTACTTAACTGGTCATACTGGTTTCCAATCACAATAATAAAGAACATCAGTTATTGTGCAGCGCTTTAAATTCCTTACGTGGGGCCAGTGTTAGAGTGAGTCAAATGCTTCCTTCGTTGCCGAGCTTTAGAAGCTCACAGAATATTGTGAGTTCGGTAACTACCGAAACGACATGAGCCGGGATCGTCTGGTGGTCGGCATGAAAAACGTTCGCATTCAGCGCTGCCTTTTTGGCTGATAACACATTGACATTGGAAAGTGCTATGATGTTGCGACGGGCATGGAGGCTGCTGAAAGTAGTTCACAGCTACTGTAGAAATTATAGCTCAGTTCAAACACGTGCTTAATATGCCATGGACGAAGTCGACAAATTTGATAAAAACACCGCGCGCTCATTCCACTGTTGTCGCTGTGTTTTGCGACGCAGTTAATGTAAATTTGAACAGACACTTTGTAACAAGTGCCAAAAACGTGGACACTTGGCCCGTGTGTGTCGGTAAGGGATAAACCCGTGTTCCCAGATAGTAAACAAACAACTTATATTTGACACAACTACCCCAAGTGCACAACCGTCATTTCGCGTGCAGCTTTGTGGTAATCAAATGCCGGTGAAGTTCTAAATTGACACGGGCAGTGCAGTAACGCTCTGCACCGAAAGCATGTGGTCCCAGAGATCGACTCCAACGAGCCACACCGAATTGTGTCAGGCGCTACTGTGATTGCGTACATATACGGGTGGTGAAGTGCAACTGCTGGGGATGAAGGAGGTTGAGGTGTCCCATGGGGGATCGACAACCCGAGGAAATATTTACATCGCACTCGGAGATAGTCCAAAAATACTGGGCTGCGACTGGATCAGTTAATTACCAATTTTGCAGATACACCATCTTTAATTACAATCGGAGGCACAAAACCTGTTCCAGCAAATGCATCAGTAGTTTAGACGCCGGAGAAATGAAAATCCACCGGGGGACAAGTTGACAGCTTCATTTCACCTGGAACAAAACCGCGATTCATCAAGAGTCGATCGTTGCCGTATGCTGCGATCGGAGGTAGAAGCGAAACTTGATCGCATGCAGATTAGCGGTGTTATAGAGCCAGTAGATTTTTCGGACTGGGCTATACCAATTGTTCCGGTACTCTAGCCTGATGGATTGATAACTATATGTGCAAACTATGAAATTGCTGTCAATTGCAGTATTCCTACTGATAAATACTTGATCCCTGAAATTGAGGACGTTTATGCGCTGCTCTGTACCCGCAGGTATTTCTCAATATTGGATCTCGCGCACGCTTATCAGCAGCTCGATCTACACGAAGACGCCAAAAGAATAAGGACGTTCGGTACGCAACGCGGTTTGTTCAGGTACAACAGACTAGCATTTGCATACATTCGGCTCAGACCAGTTTCTAACGAACAGTAGAGAACATCATAACATGGTTGCCAAAAGCTTTTGTATACCTAGACGACATTTTGGTTACGGGGGCGACAATTGACGAACGTCTACAAAATCTGCGCGTTGTTTTGGACCTCCTGAATGAGAATAGTTTGAGGCTGATATTTGAGGCTGAATTATTTGTTTTTCCGTATGAGTGCAGAGGGACTGAAGACGAGTGAGGAGAACATTCAGCCTATACTTGAGTCGATGTCATTCTTAGGAATGTACAATCATTACTCAAGGTATGTTCTGCAATCAGCCAGTGTTACACCCGTTACACCATTTTTATGTAAGCGCACTCAATGGTTGTGGTCTGAGACGGAGGAATTGGCTTCCCGTCTAGCTAAAAGTGCATTGGCCAGTCCACTGGTTTTGACCAACTATGACCCCGAAATGTACATGACAATGATATGTGACGCATCACCTTCCTGAGTCGGAGCTGCCCTGTTACGAATTGACGCGAACGGAGTAAACAAATTAGTCGCATTTACTTCTCGGACCCTATCACAGATTGAACGAAATTACGCCCAAATTGACAAGGAGGGTTTGGCGATCGTTTTTGGGGTTGTGCGATTTCACCAATACGGACGGAGATTTGAAATACACACAAACCACCAGCCATTACTGAGAATTCTGTGTGAATGAAAAGCGATACCCCAAATGACATCACCCTGGATGTTTCACTGGGCTCTGCTATTCATTGGATATGAGTCTCAACTAAAATACATTCACAGGAAGGGGAGTCCTTGTACCCATGCTCTCAACCGACCTCCAGACAGCATTGAGAGAATTGGTAGAAGTAATATCTTGGTTGGATGATTCGCCGGTGACAGTGACGGAAATAAAATCGGAAGCAATGTGTGACCCGGAACTGTCGAAGTTGCATGATTATATGCTAATTGGTTAACTGGACCGGGTAGATTAAAGCCTAAGAGCATTTCGCACTCCAAGAGAGGAATTAAGCATCGAAGACGGTTGTATAATTTGGGGCTCACGATTCATCGTCTCCAAACGGTATCGTCAAACTATCCTGCGGGAATTTCATTTCGGTCACCAAGGAAATTCAAAGATGAAGGCATCATCACGTAACTACAACTGTTGGCCGGGAGTCGATCAAGATAGAACAACTCGTACAATTGTGCGCTAACTGTCAAGAAAATAAATCATCCCCACAAACTGTGCCAATGTATCCATGGCAATGGACCTCGCGCCCGTGGGACAGAATACACATTGACTTCTGTGAATCCATTGAGAGCTTCAAGGTTCTGGTTGTAGTGGATGTCTATTCCAAATAGATCGAAGCTAGGAAAACCACAGCCATGACTGGGTCGACCACTCTGCACATCTTAAGGAATATAATCGCTACACATTAAGTATCATATACGGTTGTTTCAGATAACAGCCCGACACTTACCAGCAACGAGTTTGCACAGTTCCTACATCAAAATGGAATCGATCATATTCTCTCGGCACTATATGGTGCCTTACTCCAATATTCTGGCAGAGAGAACAGTTGCGACAATCCAACTGGGTTTGACCAAACCACAGTCCGGAATTTTACAAGCCCGCCTGGACAAATGCCTATTACAACATTGCATTACGTCACACATAACCATGGATCATCCGCCGTGTGAACTTCCAATGGGACAACGTCTGCGCACTCGGTTGGATCCGATTAATCCCAATCTGCATC